AAGAGTAGACCTCCAGGTCTTCTAGGGAAAATAGCCAAGGTCTCCTAAGGAAAACCTCCAGGTCTTCTAGAGAAGAGCTCTAGGTTTTATAAGAGAAGAGCTACAGAACCTCCATGGGCAAAGACTGCTGGAGAAGACCTACAAGTTTTCTAACGAGTCTTCCATGAGACGATCTTCGGGTCTTCTGTGGAAAGACCTTTTCTGGTCTTCTATGGGAAGACTTTCCCTGGTCATCTATGAAAATGGCTTTTCTGGTCTTTTATAAGAATAATACCACCAGCTCTTTGACGAAGACCTTTTTGTCTTCTATGCGAAGAGGACCTTCTTGTCTTCTATGCGAAGAAAACCTTCTTGTCTTCTATGAGATCTTCTTTAACAGATAGGCAGACGGCCATCGACTTAGAATTTTATGCTGATCATAAATATACTACATGAGTATACTTTATGGGGTCTCCGACGAATATTTAGGGATGTTACAAACGGAATGACAAAGTTTATATTCCTTTCAAGGTGGAGGGTATAATAAAAAGGACATTCAATTGTGATTTGTTATTGAAACAGCATGATTTTTTAATTTAAATTGTTTTCAGAGCGTTTTGAACATTCAGTTTAGCCGGGCCGAACTTTTAATGATCTCCACCATTTGGAATGAACTTGAGGAATATCAAACAATTCCGAAAAATACTATTTAAATGATGACCTATATACGGGGGCTATATGAACACGTAGACCTGCATAAGTAATTTTTTTTCTCATGGGCTGAAATACCCATTAAGATGGATATTTAAATGATTTTTTTTTTGCATAGGATGTAATACTCATTTCAAACTTCGAATACGTAATTTGAAACAATTCGGGTTAATAATGTCGCTAAAATCATAACAATACCGAATATCGGGAGGTACCAATAAATGGAGGATATACAAAAACGTTGAACGACATGGCCCATTTATGAACTTAACCAGCCTACTGGCAAAATACACATTTTTGAACAATTTTAGCCTTCTATCTCAATTTGTTCGAAAAAAAATTACGCTGATCCGGAATGTATACACTTTGTAAGGTCTATCATGAATATTTCGAGGAGTTACAAACGGAATGACAAAGCTAATATAATTTCCATAGAATGGTGGAGGGTATAATAAACATATGCATAGAAATTAATTTGTTAAACGCATATTTCAACACATTCCCTTCTTTAATTAATTAATATTTCAACGATTACATTAGTATTGCAATCAAAGCTTCGGTAGGGGTTTAGTCATTAGATCTGCAAGTTGATTTTCAGATGATGCTTCAGTTGTTTTAGTTGACACAGTAAATTACTTTTGACTCATCCAAGACATAGCTCCAACTGCATAGGTTACAACAACACCTGTTGTAGAACGTCCAGTACTGACACATCCACTGTAGTCAGCATCGAGATAACATTCCAATATTTTGAGTCCTTTCTTATACGTTATTCCAATATCTATGGATCCAGCAATTTTAATTTCATCATCGCAATTTTTAATTTCCTTTCTGAGAAAATATAAAACATCTGTAGGAATTATTTTGAACTCTGATTTTAAACTACTTAGGAAATGCTTAAGTCGTTTTTTGCCTGATGCAGCTACCAATCCATCATCAATATAGAGAGCATATTTCTCTCTTATAAACAAACAACTGTCTGCAGGGCTTGACTTGAAATCAAGTTTTTATTTGATGTACCCATTTCGAAGGGAGTGCCTTTGCTTCTTTTGGTAGTTTCGACAGAACACATGTTAACAATTAATGAATTCGTCGCTGATTTCATTGCTTGCATCCATTTGATTCTCTCAGCACTTTCAACAGCTTTTGAATAGGTTACTGTAGGCTCTGTTTGGTTAACGAAATCATGTGATATCATTACAAACTCATCGCTGATAAAATTTGATATTATAACTGTTCGATTTCTTAACCGTCTTGCTCGTCAGTTTCAGTGCTCTCTACCTGCGGTTCGGCATCTTGCACCGCTTCTTCTCAAATTATTTCTGGGGGAAAAATCTTGAGCATCGTCTGATTTATTTTCATGCAGAAGAATGCATACTGATATTTTACTTTCCCGTGTATCTTGAAGGCTATAAGAATAATCGTCATTTTGTTTCTCTACTATTGCGTCTTTTTCAATGTCAACATTAAGACAACCACTGATTTCTTCTGAAAATAGCATATCTCTTGATATTTCTATGATATTTTTGGAAACTTTGGACTTTGGAAACTCAACATTTTTATTGGAGATCATAAATGTTCTTGCCATCTCTACAATGGTTCTGTTTTCCCCTTCAGCACCACCGTTATGTTGAGGAAATCGTTGATATTGATTGACTGAGCAATGTTAAAACCGTGTGTCTTGGCTGCTGGAATGTGCAAGCATCTCTACCAATGTAACCTTCACATCAGATTTGTTCTTTACAACATAGCTATAACAGAATTTTGAGTAATCATCGTTATAAACAACTATATATTTATATCCTCTAAATGATGAGGAAAATGGCCCACCCACATCTGCTGATATCAATTCTCCTGGGACTTTTGCAGCCTTGCGTCTTCCAAATGGTAATCTTGAGGACCTAACAAAAACACAAGGCTCACAGATTTCATTATAGTCCTTGACTCGAATATCTATCTCATTTTCCAATTTCTTCTTAACATGCCGCTTATCTGGATGTCCCCACTTTTCATGATACAATTGCAGCTTAAAATTGTCTACCGAAAAGGTTACGCTTTGATTTGCAGTCACAGATGAAAAATCAACTTTGTACAACGTTCCATTTGGCACCCGATGTTCACATACCACCAATCGGTGGTATATATGCTCAAATTAACTTCATTCGACACAGAGTTTCCATCTGCAATCTTCAATCCAATAGCCAATTTTCTTGCTATAGTGACAAGTTTCTTGAATTTTTTTTTTCAAAAAAAAAAAAAAAAAAAAAAAAAAAACAGAACTGCATAAGAAATTCCTCTAGGGACTTGTCTTCATCTCTTGCTAGCATCATCCAACTAGATTTGAACATTTCAAAAGATTTTGTCAACAAGTGTAATATCTTCAAATAGTTCTTTTTCACCTTTTGTTGCCAAACCAGCATTGATATCATTCCAAATGCTTTTGAGCTTGGATGTATTGGTAGAAATCTAATTTTCTGCTATCCATTCGAAAGAAAATATATTCGTGCACATCTTCAGTAATTGATCTTTGGAAGTTGCTTCTATTGAGTGAATGATCAGACTCATGGCATAGCTGTTAGCTTTTTTATTTTTAATAACATAGAATAAGGGCTATCGATTGGATAAAGTGTTGATAGATCTTTTATATACACTAGACCCCCGACTTGCGTCGTTTCGAGTTGCGTCCCTTTTCAAAAACGAGAAAATTCGATTTGTGTAGTTGCAACTTTAAGTTGCGTCCGTCCGAGCTACATTGTGGATTACTATTTTTTGCATTTGCACTGATCATCACCTGTACGTTAACAAATTTTCAAATTTTGTGAAATAAGGGGAATTCCCTTTTTTTATGGTGATATATGTACATACATATGTAAATGAATTTAATTGTTGTTATGTTTGTGGCAAAAACCATCAAAATACCGAATATCGGGAGGTAGCGTTATATGGGGGCTATACCAAATCATGGACCCATACATGCAATGTTTCACCACTGGAGCTGGAAACCATTATGACCAACAAATACCAATTTTCAGACAAATCCGTGAAAAAATGTTGCAAAAATCATCAAATTACCGAATATCGGGAGGTACCGTTATATGGGGGCTATACCAAATCATGGACCCATACATGCAATATTTCGCCACCGGAGCTGGAAACCATTATGACCAACAAATACCAATTTTTAGACAAATACGTGAACAAATGTGGCAAAAAAACTAAAATGCCGAATATCGGGAGGTACCTTTATATGGGGGCTATACCACAACGTGGACCTAAACGTTGTGGTATAGCCCCCATATAAAAATTGACTGAAAATACCAATTTTACCCATTATGACCTAGAAATGCCAATTTTCAAACAAATCCGTGTATAAATGTGGCAAAAATAATCAAATTACCGTATATCGGGAGGTACCTTTATATGGGGGCTATACCAAAACGTGGACCTATACATGCCATGTTTTGCCACACGTACAGGGACCCGTTATGACCTACAAATACCAATTTTCAAACAAATCAGTGAAAAAATGTGGCATAAACCATCAAAATACCGAATATCGGGAGGTACCGTTATATGGGGACTATACCAGAACGTGGACCGATATATCTCATTTTCAATACCAACCATCCTAGACACAATACAAATTGCTCTGCTAAATTTTGGCGCTCTACGTAAAAATAATGTGGGCTGTATCGTGATTTCAACAGACAGACAGACAGACGGACATCGTTAAATCGACTTAGAATTTTATGCTGATTATGAATATATATACTTGATGGGGTCTAAGACGAATATTTAAGGATGTTACAAACGGAATGACAAAGTTAATATACCCTCCTTTTTTATCAAAAATACGAATTTTTCTGCTTTGTTTTGAATAAAATGTCAGTGCATTTTGTATATGTATAGAAAAGGGTGATTTGCGTCGCGATTCTTCGGTCCCCATTAACGACGCAAGGGCTCTAGTGTATAGCTATAATGGCACATTTATTTTGATTTTTGTGTTTATTATTGTTTGCTTATATGATTCACAATGCGAATGATACCTAAGAGGACTTGTCTTGAAACACGGACCAAGAATTGTATTTGCAAATTAATCTAACACAAAATCCATTATGAGCTCTAAATACCTCATGTTTAGCTATCCCGCTAAAAACTGAGGGTAAAATCATTAAATTGCCGAATATGGGGATGTACAATTATATGGAGGCTATAGGAAAAATAAGAATTTATCAAAATAAAAGCTGTCAAAACATTCCAATGTGTTGCATACATAAGAATACTCAAAATATTATTCATAATATACTTACATTTGGGTCAACAGTATATTCACAATTTCCAGTGGGGTTACTTGATTCATTTTCCGGTAAACATTCGCCCAAATGATATCCTTGCAAACAATTTCGACAAAATACGTACTGAAAAATTGTAAAGTATAAATATTATATAGTACTTTAATGAATTTATTATCTACACACCCCGCAACCATTTTGGCATGTTACTTTTCTACAATCAGCTTCCACTAAAAGTCCCATGCCACAACCCGGTTGGGGGCATAGTACACCACCGGCTTGCAGAACATATTCTTCTGTCGCAAATCTCTGATATCGATCGTATTCCTCTCGAGTCAGCAACTTGAAATGGTGTATTTCTTCTATAAAAGAATTTTCGCAGCCAGCGGGACAAGGCAATGTATATCCAATTTCAGGATGAGGCATGAATTGCCTTTCCATTAAACGTGAACGACTATAGTGTAGAAAACATTCGATGCATGTAACATGCTTCGATGCACAAGGAAATACTAAAACAGTTTCGCTATAATGTGAATAAAGTAAATAGTATTTATTAGATTTTGTTGTTTACTAATTGAATGTACAAGAGTTATATGAGTTGTTTTATCATAATTTTATTTTCCAAATATATTTTAATATTCCGAAAGTGTCAAAAAGAATAATTCAATAAATAGTTATTTAACAAATTTCAATTAAGAACATTTATTTTTAGTACGTTCCCGACGCCTCTCATTATTTACCTATACCTAAGTTCTACGTACAGACTAAGATGCACACCATGATAATCTAGCAAAGGAGGTAGATCCCATTAGAAGCTATAAGTACCGAAATTTAAAGAATTCGGTTAGCGAATGTGATCTAAATCGTCACAAATCTAGCAACCCTGTCGTGTGAAAGCTGATTTTTTTGGTGATCTTGATTGAAAACTATTAAAAGTTTATTTTTCAAGTCTTTAAACTAATTTGTATGACAACATTAGTATAAAATCATAGATAAGTACATTGCTTTCGTGCATACTTGTTAGTGATTTGTTGTAGTGTGTTTTATGCATATTAGTTTAATTGGAATTATTCTTGTTTCAATTGATCAAGTCAAAATTGCCTTCTTCTTTTTATAACCTTTCTAATTTTTCTAATTGTTGTTACCGTAAGTATTTGTAATTCTTTTTTCCTACTTTCTGTCTTGTTACAAAAGAGAGTTGCCATGTTCTTATTTTTTAATCTATTTCCGTTCTTAGTAAAAGTTGCTCGTTTTTATTCCCGCTACAGTAAATTGTGCCATCTCAATACATAATATGTTTCTCCACATTTAACATCAAATTATATCCACATTAAATATTAAATTATATTTTCTGTTTTTATTTATGTTTTGTTCATACGAAAATTTTAAGAGTCCCACTGATTCTGTTGGAACAATTTAGTGTTGGCTTTGCCTCAACCGGTCGCATGCTCACAGTGTGCTGGAATTGAGGTAAAAGTTGCTGTAATTTTCGAAAAATTTTCTTAATTTAAATGAATAGGTTTCTTCACCAGTCGCATTTAGTCCAAAGCGTAAAAGGACTCCTCAGAAGTGTTCAACTAATGTTGACTTTTGTGGCGTGCAAGACGCTTCAGATTGTACTTATGGAACTTAGAACGCTGTACTATTGAACTAAAGCTGTGACTGAAGGAGTCCCGCCAAAAACGGTTGCTACAACGGAGGTTACTGAAAGGCAAAGCAATATCATCAATAGTTCAGAAAATAGATCTTTTTGTTTATATTTTGGTCTTTGGTGATTTCAATTTGCCATCTATTTAGTGGCTCTCATTGCCAGATTCAGAATCGATGACTACTTTAACCCCCTCTGGGAATTCTAACCATTTTTCACTTAATGTTGTGAATCGCTTTTGCGATTTAGACTTTCACCAAATAAACAGCGTAGAAAATAGTTATGGAAAAATTCTTGATTTAGCATTTGTTAATATCACATGGTATTTTGAAATTTTAAGAATACGTGCTATCTCAACACCCGAAGATTATTATCATCTAACAGTATGTATATTAATGTCGCTGAAAAGTATAATAACTCCGAAAAGCACAACGCATCTAGCAAAAAAGTTTTTGATTGTAAAAAAAATAATTTTCATAGACTAAATTCACTAATTTCTTCTATAGATTGGATTTCTTTATGTTGTTGTAAAAACGTTAATGAACTTGAATCCGTAGTTAAAAAAATGTTATAACATTTTAAACAAATTTTTCGACGAATATTTTCCTAAAACCGAAGAAATAAGTTCAAAAAAACTTCCTTGGATTTTGTCGAAAGTATAAAAAAATGGGTTCGACATTGACTATGTTAATTGTTCAATTGCTATGTCAAGGTATTCTATAGAAACTCGTAGATCATACCAAGATTATCTAAATACAGTCAAAAATTATTTTAAATGAAATTCAAAGTCCTTTTACGATTTTGTAAATTTAAAAAGAAAAACATCGTCTAAACCTTGTGTATTAAATGTTTAAAATAATAAATATACTGAAATCGCTGAAAGTTTTGCTAAGTTTTTCGCTTCTATCTATTCTTATGCCAACCAATTACCAGAAATTCCTGAAGTAACTTTACCATATTTTAATTTCCCGAAGATTACTATCATCCAACAGTATGTATATTAATGCTGCTGAGCGGTATAATAACTCCGAAAAGCTCAACTCATTCAGCAAAAAAATGAATGAACTTGTAACAAGTAAAAAAACATTAAGTTCGGCCGGGCCAAACTTTTAATAGCCTCCACCTTAGGGTAAAAGAAACATTAGAAGAAATGTGGCAAAAACCATTAAAATGCCGAATATCGGGAGGTACCGTTATATGGGGGCTACACCAGAACGTGGACCTACACATGCAATGTTTCGCCAAAGGAGCTCGAACCCATTATGACCTATACATACCAATTTTTAGACAAATCAGTGAAAAAATGTGGCAAAAAAACTAAAATACCGAATATCGGGAGGTACCTTTATATGGGGGCTATACCACAACGTGGACCTATACATGCAATGTTTTGCTACACGCTCAGGGACCCGTTATGACCTACAAATACCAATTTCCAGACCAATTCGTGAAAAAATGTGGCATAAATCATCAAAATACCGAATATCGGGAGGTACCGTTGTATGGGGACTATACCAGAACGTGGACCGATATATCTCATTTTCAATACCAACCATCCTAGACACAATGCAAATAGCTCAGCTAAATTTTGGCGCTCTACGTCAAATAATGTGGGCTGTATCGTAATTTCAACAGACAGACAGACAGACGGACATCGTTAAATCGACTTAGAATTTTATGCTGATTACGAATAGATATACTTTATGGGTTCTAAGACGAATATTTAAGGATGTTACAAACGGAATGACAAAGTTAATATCCCTCCTTTCCAAGGTGGAGGGTATAAAAAAATTATAACATTTTAAACAAATTTTTTCAAAGAATTTAATCCTAATACTGAAGAAATAAGTTCAACAAAGCTTCCTTGGATTACGCCTTATGTGTTAACTATTTAAAACTCTAAGAATAAAATTTTGTAGAAAATACATTGACTATGTTATTTATTCAATTGCTAGATCAAGCTATACTATAGAAGCTCGTATATCATACAACAATTATTTAAATACAGTCAAAAATTATTTTAAATGTAATCCAAAGACCTTTTACGATTTTGTAAATTTAAAAAGAAAAACATCGTCTAAAACTTGTGTATTAAATGTTTATAATAATAAATATGTTTCCGATTTCTTATCCATACAAATTACCAGAAATTCCTGAAGTAACTGTATAGATTGGACTTCTTTATGTTGTTGTAATAACGTTAATGAACTTGAAGCCGTAGTAAATAAATGTACAACATTTTAAACAAATTTTTCGAAGAATTTATTCCTAAAGCCGAAGAAATAAGTTCAAAAAAGCTTCCTTGGATTACGCATAATTTGTATACTTTTAAAAACTCTAAGAACAAAATTTTGTCGAAAGTATAAGAAATCTGGGTCCGATATTAACTTTGTTATTTATTCAATTGCTAGATCTATGTATAACATAGAAGCTCGTATATCATACAACAATTATCTAAATACAGTCAAAAATAAATTTTAATGTAATCTAAAGTCCTTTTACGATTTTGCAAATTTAAAAAGAAAAACATCTTCTAAACCTTGTGTATTAAAAGTTTATAATAATAAATATGTTTCCGATACTGAGTGTTGCTGAATATTTTTCTAAGTTTTTCGCGTCTGTCTATTCTTATGACAACTTTCCGCACAGTTTTTTTCTATCCGTACAAATTACCAGTTCCCGAAGATTATTATCATCCAACAGTATGCATATTAATGTTGCTGAATAGTATAATAACTCCGAAAAGCTCAACGCATCCAGCAAAAAAGTTTATGATTATAAAATAAATAATTTTCATAGACTAAATTTACTAATTTCTTCTTTATGATGTTGTAATAACGTTAATGAACTTGAATACGTAGTAAATAAATTTATAACATTTTAAACAAATTTTCGAAGAATTTATTCCTAAAACCGAAGAAATAACTTCAAAAACATTGACTATGTTATTTATTCAATTGCCAGATCAATGTATACTAAAGAAGCTTATCTAAATAAAGTCAAAAATAATTTTAAATGTAATCCAAAGTCCTTTTACGATTTTGTAAATTTAAAAAGAAAAACATCTTCTAAACCTTGTGAGTTAAAAGCTTATAATAATAAATATGTTTTCGATACTGAAATCGTTGAATGTTTTTCTAAGTTTTTCGCGTCTGTTTTTTCTTATGACAACTTTCCTCAAAAATTTTCCTATCCATACAATAACCAGAAAATAGATCTTTTTGTTTATATTTTGGTCTTTGGTGATTTCAATTTGCCATCTATTTCGTGGCTCTCATTGCCAGATTCAGAATCGATGACTACTTTAACCCCCTCTGGGAATTCTAACCATTTTTCATTTAATGTTGTGAATCGCTTTTGCGATTTAGACTTTCACCAAATAAACAGCGTAGAAAATAGTTATGGAAAAATTCTTAATTTAGCATTTTAAGAATCCGTGCTATCTCAACACCCGAAGATTATTATCATCCAACAGTATGTATATTAATGTCGCTGAAAAGTATAATAACTCCGAAAAGCACAACGCATCCAGCAAAAAAGTTTTTGATTATAAAAAAAATAATTTTCATAGACTAAATTCACTAATTTCTTCTATAGATTGGATTTCTTTATGTTGTTGTAAACCCGTTAATGAACTTGAATCCGTAGTAAAAAATGTTATAACATTTTAAACAAATTTTTCGACGAATATTTTCCTAAAACCGAAGAAATAAGTTCAAAAAAACTTCCTTGGATTTTGTCGAAAGTATAAAAAAATGGGTTCGACATTGACTATGTTAATTGTTCAATTGCTAGATCAAGGTATACTATAGAAACTCGTAGATCATACAAAGATTATCTAAATACAGTCAAAAATAATTTTAAATGTAATCCAA